TGTGTATTAAATTGTTTGACACTGGAGGGTAAGGCTGTGCATTCTTTCTTTAGGTTGCAGTAACATTTCCAGTACCTTGTGACACTGCTCTCCCTAAACCCCATCCTATACCCCATTATTTTTTTGGACAATCACAACCCTATACAATGTTATGATTGTCCATGGATGGAAGCATGCACTGATCCACACTTTGCTAGCGTTACTTTCCTGAAGTTGTGGAGGCAATTCCAGTTGTCAAATCTGCAAAATTTTGCTCACTGCTTCCTAATTATCCTATATCCAGGTCCATTAGCACAATTCATGCATATACACTAGTGAGTTTAGTAATTTTCCTTTTATAGCCCTGATGTATATTCTGAATATAGGTGAACTGACTCAAATTGGTTATTACTGCTTCACCTTCTTGCAGGTTGTCGTGGTTTAACCCCAGCCAGCAACTAAGCACCATAGAGCCACTCACTCACTCACTCCTCTCCAGTAGGGGAGAATTAGAAGAGCAAAAGTGAGAAAACTCAAGAGTTGAGATAAAGACAGTTTAATAGGTAAAGCAAAAGCTGCTTGCACAAGGAAAGCAGAACAAGGAAGGAATTCACTCACTACATCCCATGGGCAGGTAGGTGTTCAGCCATCTCAGTAGAGCAGGGCTCCATCATGCATCATGGCTACTTGGGAAGACAAGTGTACCCCCTTCCTTATTCTTCACCAAGTTTTTATTGCTGAGCATGACACCATATTGTACAGAATATCCCTTGTGCCAGTTGGGGTCAGCTGTCTGGCCGTGTCCCCTCCCAGCTTCCTGTGCACCCCCAGGCTACTCGCTGGTGGAGCGGTGTGAGAGGCAGAAAAGGCCTTGACTCTGTGTAAGCACTAACTAAAGTGTAAGCAGTAACTAAAACATCCCTGAATTATCAAAACTGTTTTCAGCCCAAATCCCAAACAGAGCTCCTTACCAGCTGCTCTGAAGAAAATTAACTCTATCTCAGCCAAACCCAGCACAAGGTGCAAAAAATTCAGTTCCACTATAACTTTGTGGTTGCCATCTTCTATAACAAAACAACTGCAAGGACCTCCTGGGTCATTCCAGATAATCTCATGCCACTGAGAGCAACCATACCATACAACGCTTTTTCTTAAAATATTAAGCCTTATTTAAAGACCACCTAAACCTCATATAAAGATTTGGGGTTGATTTTGCTGATTTTCACCTATACTATTGCTACTAGAAGAGTGCTCTTGAAATGCATTTCTTTGGTAGTTATAAATTTTCCTCTTATTTCCAGTTTGGGTCAGGTAACTTGACAGTTCCTGTATCAACACAGTCTGCATTGCTAAAATGGATCTTAAAAATCTCCTGAACTTATCTCCTTGCACTTTTAGAGAAAAATCATAGACTTCAACAGTTATTTGATTGAGCCAATCACCTTTAACTAACGATTCTTTAACTTCTTGTAATAGGTAAATTTTCCATTTCTATTTTCCTAATCAGTTCAGTTACCTTTTTCTAGACATGTTCTGGTTTTAACTAATCTTTCCTGAATATATATGAGTGGAAGTATACACAGTATTTTGGAGGAAATAGGTGTTTTGAATGTCTCTTATATCGGCTATTATACTTCTGTACTTCTGCTGGAAACACCTTAGGCCTAAGAAACATATACGTCCTATTGAAGGTCGCTGTATTTTGCAGGTTCAGATCACAATTTTTCATACAGTTTACCAGCGTAAGTCAGCATCTGGAAAAGCAGAGCTGACCTTCACTGACCTCTGCCTTTCATTCCTGTTCTGTGTACCCTTCCCTTTTGCCAGCACTACCATACAATTTGCTTTATATAGCAAAGCAGATTGAAAAACTTAATCCATTTTTCTTTTGGCTGATTTTCTCACCTTATAATTCCTGCTCTAACATTTTTTCAACATAACTAATCCTTTTTCACTTGGCACCACACAAACACTTCACTGACACCCTCACATATAACCTCCACTGCATTTTGTCCTCAAAATCTGCAACCTCAATGTGTACCTGATACATTGGTAAGAAACCTTCAGCATCCATGGCCAAATTCAAGTGGAAAGACACTGCTTAAAGTGACTTTCACTCACTTGGGATGAGGTGAAACAAGCCCTAAAAACAGTTAAGCTAACCAGTGGTCCCATGTTGGTGAGCACAACCTGTTAATGAGAAATGAGCCACTGTGTGAAGTGGGAGGAATATGGTTAGATGGCACAAAAGGATTGTGATGTTGACCCTGCACCAAATGAGTAGGATGTCTCAAGGAAAAGGAAGAGGAAACAGAGTCAAGATGGTAGAGAAAGAGAATGAGGGGAAGACATTAAAAAAAAAAAGACAAGACAATAGGGAGACGGAGCAATGGCAAGAGGAAGAGGAAGAAAAGAGAATGCATAAGGACTAACCTTCAGTCAACTGAGACATTTCCATCACAGCAACACACATCCCAAAGCAACACACTGAAAGGGTTACTTTCCCACCCCATTAACAGCTGTACAGAGTTTAAAATGGTGGCCTGTGTCTGGACTTGTCTTTTTAACAGGTGTCACGCTTGAAGTGCAGATCCAATGAAAACTAACATGATACTAGTTCTAAGTTCTCCCATTCCCAGTATTAATAACATTTGTGGATACTATTTCTTTTAAAAATATGCTTATAATTTTAATGGCACCCCACGTAGCATGTAATGGGACACTGCAAATTGGTTATATAATAACTAAGTGGAAGAAAGAACAATATAAATAGTGGTTTGCAGCCTTGACCTTATGGTGTTTCCTGCCACAATGAAAGTAAAAACACATGCTCCCCAAGAACCATCAAGCAGTTTGTCACTCCTGTTGGACATTTGGATGCCTTAGGGCTTGTCAACATGCAAGGCTACATTGGTTTAGCTGGGTTTAATTTGCTGCAAAGGGCTGTGTGAAATCTTCATTTGACTTAAATCAGACTTACTTCAGTTTAACTCAACAAATTAAAGGTCTGATAAAGCCTGAGTAACTGTTGATTAGGACAACTGTGGTTCTAATCAATTGCTTAAAATTATAGTGCTGCCTGAGCTGACAGACCTTCTTTTCTAGCAGCTTATCTTGATGAAGTTTTTCCAGACTCCTCAGACTGTTTTAATCAACTTAAATTGTGCCTGAATGCTCCTTAGGATCTGGTGCCACATGAGTTAATGTAACCGAATCTTCTCTGCTGCTGAAAGCAGAATATATACATATAGAATATACTAAGTTCAGCAGAACAAATATTAAGTTCAGTGGGAAAGCACTGGTTATTCTAAAATTTAGTATTTTTTTTTTTATATTGCACCCGAACACAGGCACTTCTCAGCTTACAGATGACAGCAAAAGTGGCTGTCTCCATCCTGTGTGGGCACATGGCATTCCAAACTAAACAAGTGCATCATACATATGCTGAGAGAAACACCCAGGGTTTCCTTACTTCAAAGCCTACAAGAATAATTTTGCCTCAGTCTTCCTGGGTGAAGTGCTTGGTAAGAATACTTAAGACTGTTGCATGAACACTTATCTGCTTAGGGAAATGTCATGGAAATGAAGAATTAAATGAATGGAAAACCAGCCATCGTTATTCCACAGAAGAATGTCCACAGAAGGAGTTATACCAGTATAGTAATAGTAAGACAATTATAACACTTTAATAACATCAGCACATTTCCTGAGCCTTGTTATGGAGAACCAGAACTTGCCTTAGCTTTAGAATGGCTTGTCAGCATCCTCCTTACTAAGGAAACACTCCAAGTGCTTCCTCTACAGAGGAAAAGGCAACAGCAGAGGAATCATTTTTTTATTTTCTGTAACTGGTTTTAGGCTAAGGCAAGTCAAGCAAACCTCGGTGAATTTCACCTAATTGTTCCAACATCGTCAGGAGCTATCTGTCAGAGAAAGCAAATAATGTATTAATTACTATTTCTACTTTTGTTGGGCAGAAAGGCTCAGCTAGGTCACCCCATCACCCAAAACCCCATTTACGCTAAAAGTATCATAACCATATTGCCAGCGCAAACATCAGGTTAGTTAGACAGACAGGGTGCTGTTACAGCTTAACAATACACACCACACATTGAACACATGAAGCAAAAACTTGCTTCCAAATGATAGAAACGCTTATTTTTGGTTTAGCTATCATTTGAGAAAGGCGAGCTTCTATTTCACAAGTCAATAAAAAGAACCAAACACTTAAGTGTTAAAATTTTATGAGGGCATATTCCTTTTTATCTTCCAAAGACAACCTCTGTTCATAGTTAACAGGATTTAATACAGAAAAGCTTGAAAGATACAGATATTTTGGGGCCTATCAACCTCTGTTAACTTTTCCACTGGGGTGAACTGCGACCCAGTTTATTTCAACTCACAAGCTGAACAGGAAAGAGCTCCGCTTTTCCCACAGGCGGCTATGGCACTTTGAACCTCTTCCCCCGCCACCCTCCTTAGGCAAGAAAGCCCTTTACATAACTGCGAGGAAACCGGCTGGTTAGAGAAACACAACTCTCGACACCACGAACCCCTCTGGCACGTCCTTAGCTGTCACCTCCACCCACTTCCTATCTCTGACTCCTGCCTGCTCCCTGCACTGCCCTCCCTCAGCACGGAGACCACTAAACGCACTCTGCCCTTATTTCACAGCCAGCCAGTCTCCCGGCGTGCACATCAGCCGCCGGAGACCCGCTCAGCACTGCGGTCACAGGAAGCTCCACGCCATAGGGCCTAGCATAGACGGCAGGGTTTCGTTAGCCCCCTTTGTGTATCCAGGACCAGACGGTAACCCTCCCGCGCTTCCCCAAGGCCGCGCCAGCCGCCCCGGGGCTGAGCCCTGACCGCCGCCGCCCACAGACATCACCCCGTCCTTTAACCCACACCCCAGCCTCCGAAGGGGGATTTAAATCAGTCCCCAGAAGCCAGGGCGGCCGGCGCAGAGCACGCTGGGATTTGTAGTCGCCACGCCCCATCCGGACCCTCAGGCTTTGAGCGCGAGACCGGGGCGGAGAAACCACAACTCCCGTGAGCCTCCGCGGCGCCACCGCCCCAGGAGCGCAAGCGCAGTGGGGAGCGTTGGTTTTTGAATCCGCGGCGTTGTTATTGACGCCATATTGCTGGTGTGGGAGTCACGGAGGGAAGCGCCGCTGCCGCCCAGGCCCCACCGCCATCGCTCGTCATCGGCGGCCCCGGACCGGGTAACAGGACCCGGCCCCTCGCCCCTCGGCACAGCTTCTAGCCCGCTACCAGTTGCGGGCGGAATTGGCCCGGCTAGGGCAGGGCGGGCGGTGAGAGCGGAGATCCAGCCGGCCGAGCCGGAGCCTCTGGCGGGGCCGGCACCGCTCCCCAGAGAGAGGCCGACAGGGAGGCGGTGGAGGCCCTGACGCAGCTGCCCCCTCCTTTCCCTGCCGCCCTCCTTTCCCTCCCCCCCTGCCCGCCCCAGACAGCGGGGAAGGCGCGTCTGGGCAGGGCCGGCTGCTGCCGCCACCACCACCGCCGTTGCCGTCGTCTCCCTTGCCTCTCGCTCTGAGCCCCCTTCCTCCGCCCCGCCGCCGCCCTGCGCCATGGCTTGCGGCGCCACTTTGAAAAGGACTCTGGATTTCGACCCGCTGCTGAGCCCGGCGTCCCCGAAGCGGAGGCGATGTGCGCCATTGTCAGCCCCGGCCTCGGCCGCTGCCTCCTCCTCCTTCGCCGCCGCCTCCCCGCAGAAATACCTGCGTATGGAGCCCTCGCCCTTCGGAGAGGTGTCGTCCCGGCTCACCACAGGTGAGGGACGCGGCACCACTGTACCCGGCAGCCAGCCGGAGCGGCGGGTGGTGGGGGGCTGAGGGTGAGGGAGCGGCGGGGAGGGGGCGGCGGGTGCGCAGGGCAGGGGGCCGGGAAGGCGACCCGGACGGGGGGGAGGTGGAAGAAGAAGAAAAAGCGAAAGTTGGGTGGGTCTAGCGTTCTCCTCCAGCCATTTTTTGTCGGGCTACACGGCTGGCAGCGGCGGGGGCCGGGGAGATCCCCGCTCGGCTTGGCACCGCCGCGACGGAGACACAATAGAAATGGCCGTTTGCAGCAGGAGTGGGGGAGGAGGGACTTGGAGGAAGGGGGGGGGGGCGGGTTGAGCCGATGCGGGCGGGTGGCCATAGCAAAGGGGTCGGGGTGGGGGTGGGGGGAAGACTGGAGAAAGGGACCTGAGCAGAAGAAGGGGGAGAACGTTGGTGGGAGAGGCTTGATCCAGTGCCGGGAAAGTGGGGACCGGCTTTTCTCGCGTCGGGGATGGGCACGGAGGATTTTTTTCCTCTTTATCACGGGTGCCTGGATGTGGCAAGGAGAGCCGCAGGGGCGAGTCAGGCTGCGGAAACGCTGGGGGTGGTGGAGGGAGGAGATGACCGTGGTGTCGGCGGGGCTGGGGCTGGCTTCCAGGAGGCGCCCTGAGCCCCTCTCGGTGGGGCCCCCATCGATCCGTTGAATCCATTATCGGTGGGTCGAACGTTGCCCGAGCCGAGGCGGCGGCACCTCCTCCCGTTGCTCAGACATGGGGGGGGGGGTGAGGGAGGAGGGAAGCGGGGGGGAGGGCGGGGAGCGCGGCCTGTCATCAATCACCCGCAAAACGCCAGTGGGAAAAGGCAAAAGCAGATAAAACAAAGGGGTAATTCCGCTTCCAGTCCCTTAATGCGTGCCACCGTCCCGGATCACCCATTCTGTGGCATCCTTAAAGTTTGGTAGGAAAACCGAGAGATGAAAGCGATTGTGTGCAAGGGTGAGAGTTGCCTTCGGGGCAGATAAAATGGAATCTGGCAATCTCCTCGTCCCGGAGACGTCGGGCGAGAGCAAAATCTTTTTACATTCTTAACGTGTGAGAGATGAGTCAGCCGGTGCCCCTAAAAGCTGTGGGTCTGCTTGTGTAAGTGTTGTCAAGCATAGAATTATCCTAGTTTGTTTTACCAGCGAGCAGGGAGAGAAGAAACAAATGAATCTTGGCCGGGCACGCAGGATTGATTGGCCCTTCCTTACGGTTAGTCTAGTGGATAGCTTCCAGTAACGCACTTAAGAACGGCTAAACTCGCAGCCATGAGTGGCTGTGGCGCTGAGGTATGGATCTGTGTCCTTTGTGTGCAGGGAAAAAAAAGCCCTCTGCAGTTGTTGCAGCTGAATTCCTCCTCTTGCTGCTGCTGCATTTGGTACTCCCTTTAAACAAAAGTTGGCTCCGGATTACTGCTGGTTATTACTGAGCATTAAGTTTGAATATGTTTTCAAATTACCACCTCCTCCATGTAGGACAGTGCCTTGCTTTTATATTCTCGATTCTGAAAACTGTACAGTAGAATATATTTTTTACAGGTTTTAATCAAATAATAAATTGTTATGGAGGAAACACATAGAGGGCATACAGACTACTTAAACTTGGCATCAGTGCCTCGATATTTTTTTGAACCTCTAGGAAAAGATCCTGAATGAGTCAGCGGTCTAGGATGGGAGCTGTGATGGATGGCACTCCCTGGTACAGTGAGGCATTACATGTACTTTGAGATAGATGCTTAAAATGACAATTGATTTGATTCTTTTTAGAAGCTAAGTGTGGCTTCATTGCAAGGTTTCCTTTTGGCTTGTTTCCTTGGGATTTGGAGAACTTAGGTTTTGAATATTTAATATAAATATTGTCTGGCCAGTAAATGTGTATTGCTGAAAGGAGATAATAAAATTTTCAGTAGAGATAACCCACAGCAGTATTTGAGGCAATACCTAAACTTCTGTGTTAATGATTCTAAAGGCCTTGTAACTGAAAATGTTACTGAAGTTAAGCAACACAGGCTTCATCTTACCTTGAGAAAATCAGAGGTGCAGGTGGTAATTCATGTGAGAGGGTGATTCTGTACTGACAAGGGTGTATTTCATGTAAGCCATTTGTATAATACAAGGAAAAGTGAAGGACAGTAAATCATAATGTCTTTTACAGCACTTGAATCCTCCTGAGCAAAACTTGAAACATTTAGAAATTGCTTACATTTACAAGTTTTGCTTAAAAGCTCCCTCTGTGGGGTCTGTTACAAGGGGAAATACCTTTGTTTGGTGGGAGTGCAAATGTGACTGTTAAGCAGCTTGCTTAGGTTTTACTTGCAGTTGAATTCATAGGTATTACCACATTGGGTGTATTTAATTTCGACCAGCAAATAAAGAATTTACAAGAGCTTGTAATTTTAAAGGGGCCACTTGAAAGATTGTGTGGAATTCCATCTCATCCAATTTTGTAAATGTATGTATGTCCTAATAATTAGTAGCTTTTGCGATAGTGGGAAGAAACAGACCGTTTATTCTAGAGCTCTGGTTTAGGATGAGGCAGTTTGCTATAGAAAAACGTGTTGCTTTCCATTGACTGTACAGTGAATTGACGTGACCATTTCTGATGTAGATGTCTACATTTGGATCAGATAAATCCTGCTCTGTGTGTGAAAGAAATTCCAACCTGACTTCAAAAAGTGCTGCCAGCTGAGTCACTGTTTTGTTCAGTTCTTATATTGGGAAATTTAGTAACAATAGCCAGAATTCAGTTGACTTCAGTTATGGTTTTCTCAGTGTGTTACTGAGCACTTAAAAAGTGTCTGTCTGAATTTTATTTAATGGAAGTTAATGGTTATACAAAATCGGAGCTCTGGATATAAAACCTGAGGCTGCTACTTCATTTAAAGTTCATGCTTCAGCATTTTTGTTCTGTCTGATACGGTGTCCTGGTAGTGTTTAACTGTACCCAGTGGAGACTATGTCAGCACCAGAACTTCTTACCACATGGTGAATTATTTAGAATGATGGATTATTTGGAAGTAGAATATGGGTTGATGGAGGGTGGTGCTGAGAACTAAGAATACAGTATGGTAGTCATATGAGAAAACAGCTGTCTTCAGAGTGGTCATAGACAAATAAATGTTATGTTTGAGAGAGGGCAGGCTTATTCAAGATAAATTTTATCTCGAACAAGAGTATTTTAATATTTTGTGCTTATTTGAACAGCTGTTACTTTCAGTTTTTCGGTGAATTTGGCAGCCAAACTGCAGTTGTGGCTGTACCTTCTGTGGAACTGTGCTTACTGGCGTGAGCATGCTCGTGTGGGTGCCAGCTAATCTTTGGATGCTGTTGTTTGCCTCTAGAATGAATGTTTTTAGAACAGTGTTCACTGTAAGTGGTGCAGACCATACCTGCCTGGCATAAGGTGGGTTCAGTTTTGAAAAAGTGGCTCTAATAAGTTTTCTACTGCTTGAATACTACAGTTGAGTTTTACTTTCATGTAAGTTCTAGTTATAAATGAATCTGTTGTGTATGATCAAAGTAACTGCACTTCAGTTTGGATGCCGGCGTGTAGTGCACTGTACATGTTCGATTTCCTCTGAAGCCCTAAGAGCTGTCCTGTTTCAAAGGTGTTAAATGAATTCTAGACAGTGAAAGGAGGAAGCAGTGGCAGTATTCTGTTCTGCTGGATGTTTTAGAACCATTATTTGCAGCTTTACCGTGATGAAAAATTATGTTGGGGTGGGAGGGGAGAAGAGGAAAAGAAAGAAAAAGGGGAATAAATTATCCTGAAGTTTTTAAAATTCAAAGGCATGTCGGCGTATAAAGCCTGGACATCTGGATATTCCTGAGACTGAAGCAACAGTGGGAAATACAGTCCAGAGAAATGGAAAGGGGGGGGGGGGGGGAGAAGGGAGATGGAATGTTGACCTTAGGGATTTAAATCTAATTCGTGCTACATAGTAACTGAGAAGACAAACTGAGATCAGCAGCTTGCTTCCATACTCCTTTCATGAAATCTGGGGTTAACTTGCAGCTAAAACTTTGTAGAATCAGAATGTTACATTTAAAAAACAGTTTGTGAAATTACTTAAAAACCCAGAAACTTTTTCGTCTGTACATGCAGTTTTTCCTCCATCTGAAATATTCATCTGCCTTCCCCAGCAACTAATTAATGTTGCAAACCAAAAATTGTACTGGGTTGAGTTACTGAGAACAGTCTTTCAACTCAGAACACTGGTTGAAATCCAAGGAGAGATAATGTCAAATGTTTGATGGAATATGGAAACTACTAAATTTATGCAGTATTTAGTTATGAGTGTGCATAAGTGCATATTTGTGCATATTTGCTGCCCGAACACAGTCGTAAGGCAAATTTCTGGTTAAAGACAGCAAATGGAGTTGTTTCTAAGAGTCCTTCAAGGGGGATTCTTTACAAACATAAGGCAGCTAAATTTCTCTTTATTTTGTGAAAGAACAGGTATACAAGGTATACATTAATCTGAAGGAAAAAAAAAACCAAGATATAATTAACACAGATTTTTAAAATTACTGTAGGAAAATGACTTTGACCTGTCTGAATAGGAGGAACTGTTAGTCTTCCCATCAGGCTGTCCTCCCGTGACCTTTCAGTTGCCCTGTTGAGCAAACTGACTGTTTCTGTCCGAAACTTGGTCAGACAATGGCCAAGTGCAGGTTTGGCTTTAAAATGAACATATCTAGCCGCTTAGGAACGTGACATATTAGTAGTGGTGTATCTCCTTCTGCTTGATTTCTGTTTTGTTAACATTTATCTGCATGTGTATTTATTGCTAAATTACCCTGGCAAGATGCCAGGTTTCTCATTGTGCTCCAGTATTGCAGAAATCATTTGGATTAAAAAAAACAAAACGTTCCCACCCCTTACAAAAAAAAAAAAAAGGCAACACATAATGTCTGCATCTGGAGTTGATAATTTAATTTATATGAGAAATTTCTGTAGATGCCTGTGGTACCTA